ATTCGAACTGATTTGATCTTTATCGGACGGTGGAACTTGGGGTTTTTGCGGTGGCGACCCACCCCTTTCTTCTTCTTCTTCAACGACCCCGAAGACCCACCCCTCTTCTTGTTCAACAACGGCAACAAGCCCGAAGACCCACCACTGATTACTACAAATGAAGAAGACCAATTCCATGATCAGGGTGCTAATCGACGATTCGTTGCGGCCATCGGCCAGTAAAAACCAATATGCGACATCGATCTGCGATGATGGAGGGTGATGGTGGTAGTGGTGGCGATGGTGGGTGGTAGTGGTGGTGATGCTGCTGCTCCTCTTTTCCTCTCTGTTATTCCATGTGTGTGTGTGTGTGGGGGGGGGGGGGGGGGGCAATAATGTATATAAATAAGAGAAAATTTGACTTTTTATGAGCTCAGATATTTTACAATAAAAATGAATCTAAATTGAAGGGTTATGTAATACCCCTAATTTTTAGAAGGATAGTTTTGAAATTTATTTAATTGCATTTTTAAGTTTAATTGATTTACTTTATTTAATTAGGGATTTACTTTAAGTTAATTGTTCTATTTTCTCCAATGGTTTTAATTTACTTCTTTGCTTATGATAATTTGACTTAATTTACTTCTTTGTTTATGTTACTTTGAATTCATGAAATTTAATATAAATGAGGAATTAATGTGGTGTAATTAAATTGTTTTAAGTTAAATTAAATTTAAATTGGTTTTCACGTGAATATAGTTTCACGGGGTTTATAGTTTGCATTGACAGCCGACAGTGTATAACCTAGGTTTGCTTATGGGCTGTGTTATACATGGATTAGGGTTTAAAGTTTAAGTTTATAAATAGGCTCATTACGGTGGTTTAGGGTTTAGAGAAACAATTAAACAAAAACGTAAGGAGGCATAGAGGGACAGAGAAAGAAAGAGCAAACAAAGAGGTTACCGAAGAATTTGTGAAGAACCGTCGGTGTAAGGCAAGTTCTATAACTAACTCTATCTCTTTGACCTGTGTTCTTTGCATCCCTAATACAGTCTCAGGATGAAATAAAGATTAAATTAAATTGCTTTACACGTAAATTGCTTCATAATAGTATGTTTTCCTGTATGTGTGTTTTGTTCATTTTTAAACTGTTTGTGTTTAATTCTTATTTCAAATTGAATTTAATTAATGAATAATGAATTGAAATTACTCAGGAGCATCTTGGGTTTTAGTTTTAAACTGGAAAGAAAGTGAGTTTGAAAGATTAAACAAATTTGAACAGTATGTGTTCTTGTAGGGGTTTAAATCCACTTAGAAACGGTTTTGCGAAATTCTTGTTTCATATGGTTTTGAATAATAAGTAATGAACTTAAACAACTTTAGAGCCCTTTGGGACTTAGTTTTAATCCATAGGAAACGTGGGTTGAAGGAACCAAGTTGCCGGAGTTGGAGAAGAAGTTGAACAGTATGTTTTCTTTTAGGTACATGTTAAGCGTTTTTAGATTATTCTGTTTAATTCTTGTTTCCACTGAATGTGATTCTTAATCAAGGAAGTTAATTAACTTTTGAACACCCAAGGATTTAATTTTAATCAGCAAGAAATTTGGTTTGGAGGATCAACACAGCCGGACACCGCCGGGATTAGAAAAACGACGCACAAGGGAAGAAGACTGCTCTATTTCAAGTAGAGCAGGCTCAACTAAAAAGTGGAGCAGGCTCTACTTTGTAGTAGAGCCGGCTCTACTTGGTAGTGGAGGCGGCTCCACTTTGTGTGGAGCCGGCTCCTTCAACGGTTTTCAATTTTTTGGCCTTTTCAGTGGTGGTTTTGGCTACGGGTTTCAGAATTTGGTGTTTTCAGATGCTATTAGGAACTATGCAGGGATGTTCCAGTAGCATCTAAGTCCTATTAAAATTTTGAGGGTGTGTTAATACATAATAAATTACAAAGAGGTCGGTAGTTTTAAACCGTTGTATTTTCAAGTGAACTTGTGGACTGTTTTGGAGGCAGAGGATTTTAAGTGCATAACCCTATGAGTTGCAATTTTGTCTGGGAATGAGAATATTGTTTAATCATGTTTCTGTGATTTAAATTAAGCATATTAGATTACAGAATGATTATAATCGGAATAAGTGTCAGTAAGTCACTTTTAAGGAAGTTTACGTGGTTAAGATTTTGCAGACGATTCAAGTTGTTAAATTCTAAGTTAGCAATTGAATTAGGGGTTTATGGTTAAATCATGTAACAATGGTATGAGTTTAAACAGGTCAGTTTATATAAATTCTGTTATCATATAATCAGAAGTTAGTTGATGTTTACAAAGAGCTCTTTATATCAACTTATTGGATGTTGTGGAGTTGGTATCAATAAGCATGTTAATTCTGTTATTATTATTATGCTTGTTGTGAGTTACAGGGTGATTATATTTATTCTCTGCATTTAAAACTTGTTAGAGAATCAGGTACTGGATGTATTGAACAAGCATGCTAGTTAAACATTCTTGTTAAACTTGTGATTGGATATGTTGATATTGATACGCTATGCCATTATATATATATTATCAATACTGGATGGATGGTTTGTATGCACCGGTATGGGACGGTGTCATACTGGGGGGATTAGCTCAAAAAAATACTAAGTCCTACCTACTCTGAATTAAGGGATGGATTAACTACAAAAGTTAAGTCCTACCTGTCTTCTGTGTCAAATCAATAAATAATTGAGTGACACTTTTGTTTGGAATGGAATTTAAATATATTTTTATGATGCCACGATATGAGCCTGGGACTCAGAGTCGTTGGTTAGGGAGCGTATATGCATTGGGATGCATAACTGGCTATGATGGTTGGATGTGTACCCTGCTGGGGCTAGGTAGTCATGCCCACCTTTGGGTGCGTTTTCGCATGGTGCCTACTAGTCAGGTTGAGACAGGCCTGTAGTCCAGTGAGAGTCCTGTAGTGTGATTATATATATATATATATTTATCTACGGATTATTAGCTATTGTTGGATTGGTTAGGATGTACATGCGTATCGGGTCTCTGCTTGGGTAGTAGTAGTATAGAACTTGCTAGTGGGCCTGACCCACTTATTATTTTTCAGGTGTTGGATGGTTGAGGTCTTAGAGCTTGTTCGAGCTGAGCAGAGACGATCTTTCATTCTACCGACGATGTAAGACTTCTTTCCTGATATTCAATTTGGGCTTTTATCTTCAATTATTTATTTTCGCTCGGTTTGGATTTTTATTAAGGGTCCACTGGAGAAGGATTCCCGAGTTGTAAACTTATGAAGTTTGGATTGTCAGAGTTTAAATATTTATATTTGAGGATTTTTAATTTAGTATTCCTTCAGCTTATTATTATTTCTTAAATTCATTTTGTATTCTGTGTTCGATTAAATATTAATTGTTTGATATCCTTCGGATCTATGCTCGGACTTGATCACCCGTGACTCTAGAATCGAGGGGTATCACAGGTTATATGTCTTTTTCAACGTTTTAAGGGATTGTTTGGATTACAATTATGACAAGGAGTGTCTTTGTCCAAAAAACAGTTAAGAGCTGTTGTATATGACTGTCAATACATCAAACCTCAGGGGGTGTCATTGTAATTAACCTTTTTTTTATTTTTTTTTTTTTCAAATTTCACCCATTTCAAAACTCTAATTCCATACAATTGAACTCATTCAAAAGAATTTCAATTCAATCGAACACATCCAAAAGTATTTCAATTCAAGTCCTTCAATTCCTTCTCTTTTCTTACACTTAAAATTCCGCACTGAATTTTTTTAAAATAAAAAAAAAATAAATCACACTGCACTTTGCATATATATACACTAGTATGGAGAGCTTATAATTGCAATCTCAAAAGTTGAGACACAGAGAAAGCAAAAACTTCCTTTGACAAGATTCCTGAGAAGCATATAGCATAGAAAGACCATTTGAACCACATCATGCAAAATCTGATACCAATAGCCTCACTTAGGCGCTCACTGGAAATTTTAAGACCTAAATTTGAAGTGCTAATTATAAATCGAGTATTTTTTATAATACTTTTTAAAATTTTAAGCGTTCATTGACAAGTGAAATCTCCATAGTGTGGAAGCATATATCTCCAAAAAAAAATGGGGGTGAGTTCTGAGTAGTTTTCTGGTGAAGAGAGAAAAACTAGACCATACCACATTCATAGTTCTGCAGTGTCTTTGTACTAATGGATGCTTGATGAATGCCACATATATTTCAACAAGATGAAGAGCTTCTACAATATTAGTCCTAAAACTAAGCATATTTAGTATCTGGTTTTTAGAAGAGGCAATGATTTTCATCAAAACCAGGCCAATTGAGCCACATCACATATTTAGATGCAAGAATGTGCAACCCACAATTATAACAAACCAGCAAAACATGCATTAAGGCAAGATGGAAAACTAAAGGCCCGTTTGGCATGCGATATGTTTTAGACGCTATGTTTTTGGTTAATACCAAAACACCTGTTTTGTTGTAGAAGTGTTTTGAGTAGAAATCAGAGTCATGTTTGGTGACAAAAAATTGTTTTAGTTTCTCCGCTACAATATTGAAACACACAATACCTCCAATTTGGTGACATGGGTTTTAGCCAAAAAAATCTGATATCTTATGAACTATTTCAAACCAATATCAGCGCCCAAACTTAAATATCAATATCAGAAAAACAATATCATAAAGCATGCCAAACGGGGAACTAGTTTTGATAAAACAAAATGGAGTCAGTTCATGAACCTCTCTGTGAGGTCTTGCAAATATCATAATCAATGTTGGATGAGAGATGGAAGAGAGATCACAGAGAGGAAATACAAGCATCATCATCATCATCAGTTCACGGACACGAGTTCACAATAGCTAGACTTTTATCAGAGATGACAAGCTATTCATCGATTTAGAGATGGATCTTGCTAGTGTAAACATCATTGACGAAACCAAATTCTGGTTTCGTAGGTGAAAAAAGCAAGTATAAAAACTGCTCAACCTCTCAATATAATCACAAATATTCGAAAATAGAAAGGGTGCAATAGACATTTATAAAACGAAATACTTGTTCGATTCAATACACATTTATAGTATAAAATGAACCTAGCTCGATTCAACCAAATACTTGTTCGAGTTTGGAGGCTTATAAATCAACTCCTGCCAAGAAAGTGAATACGTAAAAAGAAATGGGGAGCCAGGAAAATATGTTGCTACCCCAGTTCAATTCAACACTAGGAGAATAGAAATCTAAAGTTCCTATATCCATAACAAAACTATGAAGAACAAAATTAGCTAGCATTGACCCGTTATATCCACTAGGACCATGAAAGATGAGACACAATCAGCACAAGGAACAATGTATACAAAATGATCACCCATGGCTGATAACAGATGCACAAACAGCACTAAGTAAACAGATGATCAGGGTGTTGACCTTTGTGATGGCTCATCAATCATGGGCATAGTGGCTATGGCAACGCAACCACAGCATCTTTATTCAGTAATGAACATGCCAGTTTCGAATAGTTCCTCGCAATCATTCGAATTGGGAGTACTTTCCGAGGAATTGTCGATGATTTTTTCCGTTGCCTCCTCGATCAAAATCTCCTCCGAGCGGCAGCCCCAACTGCAAAATGCTTTCTCCCCTCTGCAAGGAAACAAACAACCTAGAGTTTCAGCAGTGAAAAATCCTAGTGATGCAAACAAAGAGGATATCACAGGTGTTCGGCGTCAAACCTGTACATGTAGATATCTTCACCCTCCAATTTCTTCTTGCAAGAGTAACAGAAGCTCAAGAAATCACTAGAGGGATATAGAATGGGTACTTCACAGCATTTAACAGCCACTGCTGGAGGCAATCCAATCTCCTTTTCTTCTTTCTTGGAAAATTTGGTAGATTCATTGTTGTGACATTCTAAAATGCAGTCACAAAAAATATGAGTTGTTTTAGGGTTGGGGCCATGTGTTCTTACACAAGTATAATCCTCAGAAAGCTCAATCTCACTTGCTGAAGACCCAACTAAGCTATTATGGTCAAAGCCATCAGATACCGGGAACAAATTTAACTTTGTACCCAAGGAGCTGCCTAAATTTTGTCTTCCTCCAATCAATTGAGGAGGTGAAATCACTGGTTTTGTTCCACTTTCCAAATGATAACCCTCAGAACTTGAATTAGTGCTATGGTTTGTTAAACTGCTTAGATGCATCCCGGACCTTCCCGAATCCAATGAGCAAGATAGGATTTTTCCAAATGGCTCATGTTCTAATGGGGTCTCTCCATTTCCAAATAGAACATCAGAATTGCCAATTAAGAGATTGGATGATTTGATCTGGGTACAAGGAAAATTTGCATAATTCTTAGGAAGAGAATTGGGTGCCTCAAAAGATCCATTATCACCTCCAAAATTTGGGATTTTGATCCTCATCTGCGGTCCACAGAGAATACTCTTACTATCGTATGATCGGAGAACTTTACCCGATTGTTTACCATTGTTGTCGAGACAATCTATAATGCTCAGGCCAACTTTGTTACAATTCCATCTATTCTGATGCCCCTCTTGGGTTGAGCTTGGGGACCTAGAGGGACTACCTAGATTTGGAAAAAACATAAAATCTAATGGAGAAGTGGGGCTCCAAACGGAATCAGATTCCGAACCATTATTACCTAACCCTACAAACAGACCAGGGACAGTGAAAAATGAATTAGTTTTATGTTTCTGCACCAAGAAGGACTCAGAATTAGCATCAGAAATTAGGTGATCCATGTGTTGATCTTTCTCTTTTGATCTGGTCCTCTTTCTCAGCATCATCTCAAAACCCCCAAACCCTCTTGAAATTTTACCACAAGCCCTTACCTGTAACCAAATTAACAGTGTTCCACAAGATAAATAACGATTTCAAGATTGTAATTTAATCAATGACATTTCAAGACAAAGAACTATACAAGAACATCAAATCCATGAACTAAATTTAGACAGAAACAATAACATCTACATCAAAGAGATCTATAAAACAACAAATAGTAAATTGAGAAATAAATTGCTTTTAATAGATATATTAATAAAAAATTGAAAACAACTCGGCACAAAATCAATCCATGAGCTGCAATAAGGCGAAGATACAAGAAAAATGATCAAATATAGACAGATAACATTACAAATTTACCCATATATCAAAAGAAAGATGTTTTGGAGCTTGCATGGATTGAAGATCATATCAGAATAATCCCAGTAACTGTATATCCAAAATCCCCAAATAACAAGACTAAAATAAGATAAAAGCAAATTTTTTTTTTTACAAGAAGATAAAAGCATTAAAAGAGGTCTGAAATGACAGAGAAAAGTCAAATCAATTGTAAAGTGAAAAAAATTTCTCCAAATACAAACAAAAAAACCTCTTAAAATCATTTAAATGTTGTATTGCAATCACATTAAATCTTGAATTTTTTTCTGTGCTAACAATCCAACATCCCAAATGAGAAAAACCCCTTTCATCTACACAACAACAACGACTACAACATTCTTCAGAGGCAACAAATTAATAAATTAACTATAAATCAAACAAAATATCAAATACCCAGATGGGAAAACTCCATAGATGCACAGAGAAAGCTACATGAAGGGGAGATTTTGCACAGAATGATGATGAATAAAAGAAAGAAATAAAAATTTTGAACTTGATGAATCTTACTCAGTTCCAAGAAACCAGAATAGAATATAAGATATGCATTGTGGGGTTCAGTACTAGAATAACGAATGAAATATATCAGAGAAGGAGAGAGAAAGAGAGGGTGGGAAAGTCCACCTAGTTTTCTCCTCTGGAAACTTCACAGAGATGATGCTAGAGACTAGAGAGGAGATTACCCAGAAGCAGTAATAAAAAGAGTAATGTTTTGTCAAGACCCCTTCCCTCCGTGTGAGCGAAACTCTCTCTCTCTCTAAATGCATAAAAATTAGAGAAGCAGCGAGCTTTTCCAAATTACTCCCCTCTCCCTCTCCCTCTCTCTCTCATCTCTGTATATTATATATACACACACTGTATGTAACGTCCGAGACATGTATATGTGTCCATGACCCTTTTATCACACGTATAAAATCCTAAGAAATACAAAATTAATACTATTATAATTACTTGATTAGCAATTTCGTAACACGTTCCTTTCAATCTAGATTACGTGTTAATTAATGCTAGACATCTTAATTTCATTTCAGATCATTATCGCAAATATATATGTGTGTGTGTGGTGAGTTTAATTCACTTTTCACACTAAATACATTTTATGAAAATTACACTAAAGTAAATTTATAAGTTTTAAATAACAAATCAGCCTATTTTTTAAATTAATTTTTAAATTTGGTCAAGTTAAGTAAAATAATTACATGTGTATTAAAAACTATTATTTATGTCTAAAATATCCTCCAAACTCTTATTTCAAAATAACAAAGTATCATTTCTAAATCAAATAATTCTTTCATTAAGAAAATTTAGAAAAATAAGTTTCTGATTTGAGTTTCAACTTAACATTTTTGTATATGGTGTTTATATTACCAAAATCAATAAAATAAAATAAAAACAACACACACACATACACACACATATATATTATATAAATTTTGTGCAAAAAACTTTAACGATATATCCGTTCAAACTTGCAAATGTCAATTTAGAAATATAAAAATAATTTATTGGAAATTCACTATGTATATAATTTTTTTCAATAAGCGAAAATTCATAGTATATATATATATACACACACACACACACACATACAGTACACACGCACAAGAGAAGGAGATTATGAAAAAACTAAATGGCGAGAAAGGGAGATCATGAAAAAAATTAAATGGTTGCCTCAGTAAATGGTACACCAGCAATTATTATTATTTTTTTTTAATAAAACAAGTATAACTAATTGAGCCAAAAAAATTAATGATCATCTCAAAGCATGCACCATAACAAATGCGATTTATATATTATTGAGTTTAATTATATTTTTCTTTTTGGGGACTAACCTTTAATTGCCCATTTTTTACAATATTGAATCATTTTTATTATTTGTATAAGTTATAGTGTATGTGTGTATATATGAAAATTGCAGCAATATAATTCAAAGTTAAAGAAAAACAATTATTTAACTTGATTTTAGAGGAATAATTTTTAGCATTTTATAATAAGTGTTTGAGGGCATCTTGGTCCTAAACAATAGTTATTGATGCCTATGTAATTATTTTACTTAATTCAACCAAGGTGAAAAATAAACTTTTAAAATGTATTGCTTTGTTATTTAAGGTTCTTAACTTTATGTAAGTGTAATTTTCCTATTTTTGTCAAATTTCATTTAATTTTATTAATGTTGCTTTTGAAAAAAACACCCACTTGACTTGCTGAAAATAAAATTTTAAAAATAATAATTTAAATTTTGAACTAAATATTCTTTAATTTCAAATTTAAGGTGCAGTACTCCCAAATATAATGAGTAATTCTTTCATCAATTATTTTGAATTATAACTATCCAATATTATTACCACTGAAATTTAAATGTTTTAAATCAAAGGGAGGTGCTAAAAGCACGCTTCACTTTTTCACAAATATGATATATTTTTTAACTCGATGTGATATTATTGTCCTTAATTCAATTTATTTTAATCACTATTTAATTTTTTTTTTAAAATAAAAGAGTCCATTTATCATTTTCCTATATTAAAGGGCATAAAATTTTGCAAATAATCTATTATATGTTTAAGAGTATATTTTATTATTATTATTTTTTAAGAGGAGAAATATTTTTATATTTTATTATTGAGACTAATCTATCTCAAAATACATGCAACATCTCACATGTTATGTTGACCAACCAAAACCGATTAAGTTTAGGGGTCATTCTAACTACAACTTAAAGTGTATGTGTGTGCGAGTATTTCTATGATTACATATATACCATAATTGGGTACAAACTGTGTGTATTGTGTATATGTATAAATAAATAAAATAAAATAATTTTTTTAAAAGAAAAATCTGTTTCGAAAAGAGAATCCATTCAATTTATGTTTTATTAATAAAAACAATATATGATTTAGTAATTCTCTATCTTTCAAAATAAACCGTGAGTGTATATCAGATGTGTTTTTGCTATTAACAAAAAAATAATAAATAAATAAATTATGCTTTCTCACACTTTATAAGTTGATGAGGCCCACAGGGTTGACAGAGGACCCACTCTGATTTATTGTTGAAAGATGGAATAACGTTGACGGCCCCCAACCCAACCATGGTTATTTTGATGAGTTAAAATACGCGTGAGTTTAAAAACCCACCGCCATGGTTGAACGGTAAAATAACACATATGCCCTCGCTTTTGACCTTTTGCAAAAAAAAAAAAAAAAAAAGTTTAAAGACGTGGGACTTGTGTAGTGTAGATTTTTAAAAACAATTTTGAATATGTTAAAAAGAAAAGAAAAAAAAATTTGCTCATAAGTGAACAAGTCAAATTTGAATATTGTCAAACCAGGTTAGCCAAAGATTTTCAAAATTTTGAAAGACTCTAGACAAACTTTCAAATGTGGCTGAAAAAATATAAAAGTATAAAGAGCATGATCATGTGAAATCAAAAAATTAAAATAAATAATCAACACAACTTAGTCATAAAAATTAAAATTCAACTCCATATCAAAATATGATCGTCTTGTATTCTGAGCTGTAAAATCATCAACTAAAGTACTCTAATCAAGTTTCTCCAATATATTTTTTTCAAGATATCATAGCCAATCAATTTAATCACTCTTATGACATTGTTAACCATAGATAAGATTTTATCAACTTTAATTTTGAAAAATTTCTCTCAACATATGCCATTGTAATTAAGACTGTCAATGAGGACCTGTAATCTTATCGTGTCCCTCAAAACTAAAATGTTTTGAGACGCAATAACTTACCTCATTATAACCTTCCAAAAAATAAAATACTTACCAATATTATATTTATTCTCATTCTCCTTTCTCTCCTTCCGTATCTCTATTACTCTATTTTCTTTGCCTCTTACACTACTACCCCTCTAACAATGGCCATCTCCACATCTTACACCTCCACCATCTAACAATGGTCATTGCCCTTCCCCTCACAACCTTCTACCAACACCTCCCTCTCCACCAACCATCATATATATACCTTGGTAAGGTTGTGTACATAAATCTATATGTATAAATCTAATTTGAACAAGAACCAATATATCCACCCAAATATTCCTTTAATTTTTTTCAATTAATTATTCCAAAAATAAAACAAGTTATTTAAAGAAATGGGCAAATACTGCCTTAATTATATTTAAGTGATTGTCAACGTTTTAAGGCACGGGAGGGGATCTGAGTCCATCAATAAAACTCTATATGAAATCCAAGCATTTGAAAAATAATAACTTAACCTTTTTATAAAATCAAATAATTCAATTACATTTTTTTTCCCCTCTTGGTAATGTTTTTCTTAAAAAATTGTAACTCTCAAGCTAATTATGTCCCATCAATATCAAAAACCACCTAGTGCATTGGAGCCCATGGTTATGGACCCGAAACTATTAGTATGAAACATTTTCTTTTCCAAGTGAAATCCCCTAGTATATGAAAGAGTGAAAAAGTGCTTTCGTTGTTGTGGAATAAGAAGCATTCGTATCTTAAAGCACGTACAAACAATCAAAATTTTAAAATATGCTACTAAAATATGACTCTCATGTTTCCCAAAAATAATATAATCCATTTATGCTTTCAAGTATTAATTTAAAAACTTTATGGAGAGTTTGAAAAAATATATAGCAATAGTATGTTTAAGTTATTTTTATTGAGATGATAATTTAGGGTCTGAAAGTTTGACAGTTCCTTATAATTTATACAGACGGGGTATGATATAATTGAAAAATGATATAGTTGACGTCATAATAACATGAGCATATACTCACATAAAATTAGTTAAATTTATGGATGTTACTATTCTTTTAGTAATTAATTTTATGTACCAGAATATATTTTAAAAATCAATATGAAATTTTAGTTAAACAACATTAAATATAAAAGTTGACCTCTATTTTATATTATATCTTGACAATCTCTGTTCGTATATATGGAATTAGTGATCTTGTAATATATACGGAGTAAGATCAAAAAAAAGAAATATCTTTTACCTTCTACATTTTTATAATAAATTTAGATATGCATATATGGCAAGTATCTTTGTAAAGGCTTTAACTAAAAAAAAAAAAAAAAAAAGGTATCTTTGTAAAGGCTTTGTTACTCACGCTCGCAAGGTTAAAAGGGTAAAAGTAACATGAGGGTATAATAGTACTAGAAAAAGGCAACGATAACACTAACCCAACAACAACAGGAGGGTATAATTGTCATTTAATATTATGACATTAAAATTCTCAGTGTATCTTTTTACTCCAGATAGCGACGCAAAAACGGTGATCACCGCCGTAAAACGACCGTTAACTGAATAATTAGATCGGTCAATTTTCAATTGCCACTTCACAGGAGTCAGTTTCATTGAGCATGCCAAAATAAAAATTACAAATAAATTTTACTTTATTTTTTAAAATACCAAAATAAATAAATAATTACTGTACACACAAATTTTGTTCTCTGTAAATAAAGACAAAATATGGAGCAAATAGTAATTTATTAATTTGAAAAATTTGAGTACAATCCTCTATAATAATATTATTTACAAAAAGAATGGTCCTCTGATTCGATCTCCTTTTTGTTATTGGTTGGATCCAAGGGCTGCACAAGCTTATTGTTGATCACCGTGAGATTTGATGAAGAACGGCACGTCGTTGGATGTGCTTGATGTTCTTCGCTTTTGGATTTAGATTTTGAATTTGTGTCTCTGACTTCTGAGTCTTTGGATTTCTGAGTCTCTGGACTTCTGAATTCTGAATCTGTGGGTCTGAATTTCTGAATTTGTGTCTGAATTTCTGAACTTCTGAATTTGTGTCCTTTTTTGAATTCTGAATCTGTGGGTCTGA